AAATTAACAATGTTGTTTCATGCATTTTTGTCGGAGTGGAAAGGCGGATTTTTATAATTTGCATATCAGATGTATTTATTTGGGTTTTCCAAATTCGAAATGGGGAAAAATATGTTCCTAAATATTTTGCCTTAAATTATATTTTTGATACCTATCATAAGTTTTAATGTTTATAGTAAAATACAGGTCATGTACAAAATGGCACTAAAATCACCGCAAAAAAATTTATTAGGAAACCATGAAATGGAAGTAGGCAAAATATATACTTAAATATATACACTGGTGCGATATATAAATCGTTTCCCACTTTTATTTATAAAATTGTCCCTTTATTCGATTATATACAATAGCTATAACTAATTTTAGTGCAATATAATACAACATTTTTTTTTATTTTTACATACATTGTCTACCTCTTAATATATAAAAGAGCTTAGTGATAGGTGAGCGACTGACAGGTCAGACGGAACGGCTAGAAGCTTGAAATTTTGAGTGTGGATTGTTGTTGGTGTGTAGGCGTGAGATAAGGCAGGATTTTTGGAAACTCGAAATTCGTACTTATGTATGTGTATAAAAAGTATTAAATGGTACTAAATTTGATTCTATTTGCATTTAGTTGTGCGTATAGGGATTGAATCCTGAAAATAGGAATTAGGATTACTCTTAGAGTACACCTTTAAAAAATCGTACTTTTGTTTACGAAAAGTACTAAATTTGGTACATGTTTGATTTAATGGAACAGATAGAGCTGAAGTCTTGTAATTGGGAATTTAAATGATTTTTGGAGTGTAGGATTGAGGTAGTTTGGAATATTCGTACTTATGGGTACGAAAACTAGTAAATGGTCCTAAATGTATCACAATTTGGATTTTGGGTGAACGGATAGAGCTGAAAACATGAAATTTGGAATTAAGATTACTGTTGAGAATTGAGCTATGTAGATCGCTTTGGAAATTCATATTTATGTATTCGAAAAGTACTAAGTGGCACTAGATTTGGTACAATTTGGACTTCAGTGAACGGAGAATTTTAAAATTAAAATTGCTGTTGTTGTGTAGGATTGAGGTAATTTAGAAACTTTTTAGTTATGGAAACAAAAAGTACTAAAAGGTACCAAATAATGTGTTTTCGTGTGAACGGATAGGGCTGAAATCCTGAAATTTCAATTAAGGTTACTGCTAGAAACATGATTGAAATTCGTACTTATGGATACGAAAATTTCTAAATATGGTACAATTTGGATTGTTGGATGATAGGGCGGATATCCTGAAATTTGGTATTAAAATTTACTGTTGGAGAGTAGAATTGAGGAAATTTTGGAAAATCATACATAAGTCTACGAAAAGTAATTAATGATATAAATTTGGTACAATTAGGATGTAGGTGAACAAATAGACCTGGAATCCATAAATGTACACATAAGACTATTACTGGAGTGCATGACGAAGGTAGTTTTGGAAATTCGTACTTATGAGTACGAAAAGCACTAAATATGGACTTTGGTGAACCGGTAGAACTGGAATCCTGAAAGTTGCAACTAAGATTATTGTCGGAATGTAGGATTGAGATAGTTTTGAAATATGGGTACGAAAAGTACAGAAATTCGTACTTATCGGTACAACTGATATGAGAATTGTACTGGAATATTGAAATTAGTTATGGGAGTCGATCATTGTTAATATAGAATTTTGACTTTTTTTGGTATTTGGCTCAGTATTGACGTGTATATTTGATTTAAGTAAGCAGTATCGGCAAATCATATTAAAAGTATACGAAAAGTGTTAAATATTGTACCTTTGTCATTTGGGCGAATGAATAAAGAAAAAAACTCTGAAAATTGATCTACATTGTGTATGTAATAAGAGTCGATTTTAATAAATACAAAAGTTTTCTAAGTACTAAATTGAACTACAGTTATTACAATAGATAGTGGGTAGATGCGTAGATATATAATTTTGAAATTAAGAATCGACATGTAATATTTGTTTGAATGGAAAATTTCAATATTTTAGAAAACGCTATTTTGATGATTTTGGCCTCGTTTTTCAATCTAATTATTTTTAATTTTGTATTTTGGAGTCTTACTGGGTAGAAAATGTTCATACAAAAACAACATTGGTCCACTTTTTAGGATGGACTATGGTGTCCATCCTAAAAAGCGGTATTTTGAAGGTTTTTGCCACTTTTTTCAACTGAATTAGCTCTTATTTAATATAAAGGATTATGAGGATACTTGAATGTTGACATACATATATACAGAAAATGATTAATATAGGTCTATATTTCCCATTGCAGTGGCTGTAATTTGGCATTCCGGAACATTGGAGAGTAAAATATATTTTACTCCCCACATAAATGTCCATCCCCAATTCAATGTAAATTTTTAGGTTTGATATTTTAAAGGTTTTTTTCCAAAAACGTAATTTAGCAATGCGAGTTCTTGGAATCTTTTTACATAATTTTCGATATCAGTCGATATTTTGATATAACCCCCATAAAAAGGTGCCTCCCCTATTTCTGGTATTATATAATTTAACACATCGGATCGCTGATGAATATGAACAATCTTTTTAAAATTATTTAATATATATTATATTATTAATTATATTATATTATTAATTATATTATATTATTAATTATATTATATTATTAATTATATTGTATTATTTAATTTGTTGAAAATAGCCTTCATACAAATGTCACGTTTAATGTTTAGTTCCTACCCCTGTTTTCCAACCTGAGTGTCTGAAATTTTAAGGAACGAATGCAACTATTATATTCTAAATTTAGCATTTTGAAATATTGTACAAATTTCCAAAACTTTCACCTCTTTACATATACCTACCATCAATTTCAGGATATTAACTCCATTCATCTTCTCCATACAATATTATAATAACAATTATTACCACTCCCTTTATTCCATAATTTTAATAAGTTTGGAAATTCACACTTAGTATACTTAAAGAACGAATTTCCAAAACCTCTCACTTATCTCAATTCTACACACTAATGGCGATCTCCATATCAGAATGTTGGCCTCAATAGCGATTAGAAAACGGACTAAAATAAAGTATTTGGTTTTATCCCCGTAATAGTAGCCGATCATTACCAATAACTATAGGATTCGTTTTTCACCAGGACCGAACCTACACACAACATTTCGTAACGATTGTTCAATAACTGCAAATTATATTTAAATTTTGGTTTTATATAAGAACACAACTAAAAAAATACCCTAGCTGTTTTTTTCTATTTTCTGATCACACCGAAAAATTAATATTATGAAATGATTTATGGGGTAAATAACTAACATGACAAAATGCATGGGAGATATTCCAAAAAATGAAACTATAAAAAATACTTGTGAGGGTTAAACTCTAGAGTTTGCAGTTTACCCAAATTAAAAATAAATTTTGATCTCCAAGAAGAGTGGGCATTGAATTTGGGGAATATATGCAAAACGACTTTTTTGTACACTTGTGAGAAAATGCTACCATTTCTATAATAATTACACAAATTTCCAATACTTAGTTACCAAACCCAACAAATTTCCATTTAATTCCATTGACCTTCCACCAACCAATATTATATCTTCTTCTATTCCAATCATTTTGTTTTTCCATACCATTATTTTACCTAAAATCTACACACATACTGTGGGTATTTCTATGTTTGTTATCGTGGTCTAAATAAAAATCCACCACTTTTATTGCCGCATTCGGAAATACGCTTCAACGATTTTCATCAGGGAACAGACCAACTATGACATTAATCCACCACCACAAAATATTTCTGGTTGGAATCATAGCACTTCAACATTCCCATATGAGTAGCTGTTGATCAGAGTGCACATTGGAACCCAACAAGTATGTATTTGACTGGAAACTTCTATTCTATTTTGGATATTCATAAGCTGACATAGCCGAACACAAATTGTCTAACAAAAGTGAAAACAACACGAAAAGTATAAAAACAATTATGAATTGTTTATGGTGTTATGAAACTACTGAATGAACTTACATATGCTCATATACAATGAATACTACATTTTTGCAGCAAATTGTTATGTTAGAAAATATTTAATAGCAATGAGTTAATCAATGAAGAGAACATCCGATTTTTATATTGGTCTATTCTGCAAATAACAAATCAAGTTTTACTACTTTTAATTTGATTTGACTTTTTGTCCAAAAACACAGTTATGTAAAATTGTATACAATTTAGTTTTCCATGGGTTCCCAAATAGTTTTTTTATTTGTATCCTCTTTACAAACCGTACAATATAACGTTAATATTAAAAGAAGGAGGGCTACATGTAAAACATCACAGCCCCTCTTCCAGTTAACTGATTGACAAATTTGCTATTCCTCCAGATGAAAATTCACCATTTGTCCACTGACCTACCTTCTCTTGGAGCGCTGTAAAACCGTTAATATAAAGCCACACCAACAGTAGAATATCAACAAATCGAAAATGTATGAGTATGCGTGACTAACAGATTTGCGCGCCTTCATTACGCTCCATGGATGGATGCATTTTCCATTTAATATCAACGCGGCCGAGCATACTCAACAACCAACAGCTCCTCCCTCTGCAAATGGAGATTTCTGATTGTCGACTGTCGTTGGTTTCAATGATTTTCCAATATCATCATGTCATGTGTGGGGAGTTCAGTTGTTTGTTTTGGTTTTTCCTCCAGCTGTCACTGTCCAGAATTTTTGAATTTAGTTTATGGAAAGTAGCCAAAGCAACAACACCCACCGTTGTCAAAAAACTATCAACATTACTCCCAACATACGAACGAGCACATTATCATCGTCATCAACACATAGAATATTTAAGCTTGCGTTAGTACGAACGAGGTATCTGGATTGGATTTTAATTAAGCGTAACGTTGGTTCGTTCCACTAGAACACAATATGAAAATAATTGAAAATTCACAACACCATTACTAGTGCAACTAGAAGAGCAGAAAAGAAGATCAACTCTCGAACATAATGAATTCCAAAATTCCACAGAAACTTGTCAATGGATTATTTAGATTTTATGTGTGGCTACTGGTCATTTTCTATACTGGAACTGTGGCTCAGCAAACTCATATCAAATTGAAACAGGGGACTTTGGTCGGGGTAAATTGATAAAAGCGATTTCAAATAAAAGTAAATTGTAAAATTTTTAAATTTTCCTAGTTAAAAGTATTTCCAGATTCTGCTCGATCGGCAGTTTATGCGTTTCTTGGAGTACCCTATGCCCAGGCGCCCATTGGTGAACTGCGATTTGCAGTAAGTAGTATTTTTTATTTAAACTCTCTAAAGTTTTTAATTCAAATAATTTGAAAATGTTATTTGCAGCCACCCAAACCGCACATGGGCTGGAATCGAACCCTACAAGCCATGAGCATGAAACCAATATGTCCACAATTGTCGAATACAATATACGATGAAACTTCGGAAGAATTAATAGCGAGACCAGCTGAAACGAGTGAAGATTGCTTGTATTTAAATATTTGGGTATCTGAGGTAAGAGTATATTTTTTTAAGCTCAATAAAAAAACATGGTTGATCAATAGTTATCATTTGAACGAGTCTAACCAATAGAGTTAATAATATCGAAGAATTATTTTCAAATATTTAGTTTGCCTGAGTACTTTTCCAGTAAGCATTACTCAGCATGTTATTTTATGAGAGTAAGAGAGATTCATATTCATATTATAAAATTTCAAAATAATTAATGTTGAAAGCTGAATATTGTCAAAGATAAATACATATATAAAATATATAAAAAATAGAATCGTATGTGTACACGAGACTACCTTGTTCAATTATGCCATGGTTTTTAAAAGCATTTACCAAGTTAATTTTTTCAGTTTGATTTTTAAATACACAGTGTTATTGAATTCAAAGTAGATCCTTCAATTCGCAAATAAATTGTACAAATTGATACAATTTTTCGAGAACGCTGACAGATTTAATGTTTGTGTTTTTACTTCAACTCTTCTTTTAAGTCTTTTACTCTTAAAGAATTTGAATTTTTCAAGATTTATAAAACCAAATTTGGATTGATCGACATTGTCGTCATTTAATTTATTTATGATGACAATAATTTATTGTTTATATTTTTTATATAGTCATTTCCACTTTTCCTTTAAATAAACAATTGATTTGTTTGTTTCTTTTTACAGAATGGTTTACGATATGGAAACTTACCAGTCTTGGTTATACTTACCGGCGAAGATATGTCCTATGATTGGCCGAGAAATAGAGTTACTGGTTTAGACATTGCTGCCGAAGGTTTGGTCGTCATTACCATACAATATCGTACAAATATTTTCGGTTGGATGAATGCCGCCGATAATAGTGAACTCAGCGGAAACTACGGCCTTCAAGATCAAATACTGGCTTTAGAATGGATACAGGAGAATGTTAAAAGCTTGGGTGGAAATACCAATCAAATAACATTATTGGGTCATGGAACAACAGGAGCTACATGTGCCTTCCTGCATTTCATACTGGGACAACAATCGTCCTATTCTAACGCCAACCCTCTATTCAATCAGATGCTACTAATGTCCAGTGGAAACTTACATAAACAAATGGCATCAGTTTCTTCTGTGCAGGATGCATCTAAAGCTCTCATAGAAAAGTTGGGCTGTCAATTTGAGGAAAACGGACGACAAGTGGTATCATGTCTGCGCTCAAAGAGTGTTAGTGATTTGCTCAATGCCTTCGAGAGTATTTATAATCATGGCAATGGAACTCATCATCTGGCACCAAGTATACATTTTAATTTTGAAGACATACTAACAAACTCTAGCATAATGAAGAACTTCCCCAATACCATTATGGGAATTACATCCAATGAGGGCGCTTTCATGCAGGATTATTGGCTAGAGTTGGCTCGAGAAAGTTATGCCAGTTTGCGTAGCTACATCAACAACACCTTATTGCAAAAAGTCCTACCGCTTTACTCCAGCACTCATAATCAAAATTATGAAAAATCTATCGAAGCTTTAAATTGGCGCTACTTTGGTAATGGCCTCGATGGTGATCGGGTTCAACTACTCAGTTCAATACAAAAATTCATATCGGAATATGAATTTGAAATACCGTTTTATCATTTGCTAAATCAAATAACAAATTCTTCTATATCGACCGACTTGTATGCCTATGTTTTCGACTTGGCCAATTCTATGGATATGCGGGGCAAAATTAATTTATTCGGTGGAGCATCTCACACATCTGATTTACCCTTAATTTTTGGTCCTTCTCTGTTCCAGCAAATCGCTCGAAGACGTTTTACCATCGATGAAGAGAAAATGTTTCGTAAAATGAGAACTCCAATTATAAGTTTCATAAAAAGTGGTAGTCCCAACCCGGGTCGAACATATGATGGCTGGCTACCATATACTCAACAAAATAAATTCATTTATAACTTGGGCGAAATGTGGACATCGCAGCAAGATAATACTTTGACTTTGGATCCAAAAAATACCCAACAAATTGAACAACTGATTGATAGTGAAAAAACTATTGTGGCGCGTCCACGACCAAATCGCTACGAATTCAGTAATTCATACCAAATCCCTTCTGACAAACGTTCCACACCGAATTCAACTATGAATTCGCATTCAAAGCGCAATACGGAATATGCGTTGCATTTGAAGCGTGTCTATGGATATTGGCAAGTGTTTTTGCCACAACTATTTACCACGCCTAATGGCCAATACACCGATGACATTGTCACCCAACGTTTACTATATATGGAAGCTTCGGCTGATGCGGCCCGTTATAAACACGGATTCTTTGTAATGCTTGGATTAGTTGCTGTTCTCCTTAATCTGTTGGGGCTTTGCATTTATTTATTGCGTCGCGATCCTTTGGATCCGACACCTAACTGTGATTGCGATTTATGACATAAGTGGTTCCTTCGGCGAACAATTTTCAATTGCTGTTCCAAGAAACATCTTTCACATCCTGATGTCACTCACGAATTCAGTCATCCTGGAACAGCCGACAATTGGCGCAGAGAAACACGTTTGCCGAAGCATACAAACTACCCCACACCAAAACCATTCGATTATAAACAGCGACAACGGGAACCATCATCCATTGAGATACCAACAAGAAACAGCAATCGTCGAAAATCGACTAGAAGTGATTCGAAAGCTATTGAAATTGTGAAAAATACACCCACGCCAGCATCGAAGTTGAAAACAATAACAACAATAGTTACCCAACAAAATTCGGTAGGAAATTCACAACAAATGTCGCAACTTCCGCACTTTACAGATCCAGCAGGCATTCGAAATTGGCAATATCAGTTGACATGTGAAAAACTTTGAACAACTACCATATTCGCGCTAATAGGATTTAAGTTATTCATAATCTTGCACACCAAAGAATAGATTTTAAGTGAATGTTTCATTGTATGTTCAATATTATATATAAATATTAAATATTTTAAAATAAATATTTCAGATATTGGAAAGCGATTTTCAATTTTTGCCAATAGAATATTGGTAAATGATACAAATTCGAATTGTATAGTCTAATGATGTCACAACAATAGCAAATGTGGGTAGACTTAATTGAAATGTATCCCGTAGGAAATGCCTCCTAATCAAGATGTATTCTAATCAAGGCATATTTATATAAGTTGTAAAGAACAATCGGTACTTTTTGTACAATAAATGGTCAGAATTTGTTAGGAGTCACAAATTCAAATTTATTTTATCTTCGGAATATGATTATAGGTTTTTAAAAAAGGCTAAAGACTGTCAATGAAGCAGGCCCCACGTTGGCCGCCAATAAAGAAAGTCCCTCTTTGAAGGTCAATGAAGCAGGCCCAACGTTTTGCGCCAATGTAACACACCTCTCGTAGGGCGTTACTGAAACAGCCCCCACGTTGGGCGTCAATAAAGAAGAGTCCTCCTTGACTGTCAATGAAGCAGGTCCAACGTTTTGCCCCAATGTAACACACCTCTAGTAGGGCGTCACTGAAACAGGCTCTCGTTGGGCGTCAATAAAGAAGAAATCTCGCCAAGTGACGATGGAGCGTTGTCTATGTTGGACTGCAATTCCTTGCTTCGCAATTTGTAGCTATTCATAAATAGAGAAACGACTTTATTAATTTTAAATGCCGACTTTATTACTATTCCGCGCAACCTTATCAGATGGATACAACAATGTATCGTGTTTGAATGGAGATTGCGGAATTAGTGACTTCCTGTGTTTTCATCGATAACATTCTAAAAGTACATTTATATATACGATTTTAAATCGACTCGATTAACGAAATCCAGAAATACACCCAAATTGTTTACACATAACATTAATCATGATCTAAATGCCGATCAGCTGATGCGAATACATACATGCAAAATTATTAATTTACGTCAAAAATATTTGTTTGCATTATGAAAATAAAAAGAAGAAGTACAACAATGGAAATGTTTTTGCAATGCTGTGATCGTTTGGAAAGTAAAAGAAAACACCTAAAAACCCATAAATTCTATATGTAATTTTTATTTTCCTTGGATCTTTCATTTTTGTATTTGGCAACCGTTAATTTTAAAAACATACAACATGTGAAAACAGTTGCAAATTTTGGTACTTGTGAGATAGTTGAATATTTTCGTACAAAAACAGCGTTGCATCTCAGTAGAATCATAATTTCGATCATGATTTAAAATAAACCCTGCAACACGTTGATTTAAATTAGTATTATAAATCATGGTGAATTCAGCCTGATTAAGAAAATAAACCCTGATTCAGCCCTTAATCATGATTAGATGTTATATGTAAATTTGTTATATTATTTACAGTGTTGTAGTTACATTTTAAATTGCATTGCAGGGTTGCATTCATAGAATTAAATCTAGTTGGATAAATAAGGTTTACATCAATTCGTAGAAATGCTGTTAAAAATAGTGGATTGCTTCAAGGCCTAATACAACACTTCTGGCAATGTTTACCTGAAATCGAGCGAAATTATTCATAAGAGCTATAACTAAAATAAATAACTAAATTTAGCTAAATGAATGTGTTGTATCATTGTTTAAAAAAATACAGAAGGACGGTCAGTATCTTGAAGTGTTTTGTGCAAGTACCTGCCCATAGGCTTACCTCGCAGTGGCTGAGCCACAGGCGGATATGCGCACACCAGCACCAAAGTGCTGTACCAATTGGAGAGCATGCAGAAGGCATACTCTCCCCCTTGGTGAGGGGCGAAAGAAGGACGGTCATTCATAAGTCGGGGTTTATACATGCAGCTTTTGTATGCTCAAATAAATCCCTTTTGCATTTCTTTTCATTCTTTCTAAGAAATCAGCTGTTTACAAAAGATGGATATGTAAACGATGGATATGAAAATGGACTTAAAAAGTGATTATAGGTACTGTCTAATAATAAGGTCATCCAGGAAAACCAGCTGATTATCAGCTGTCTCGAGTCGACGAGGCGAGAATGGCGCCCCCTCCCATATATCCATCTCAAGGTTTGGGACACTACCTTCTTAAAGTGTCCCCCTAACGCTGGGGTGTCATGCGACCTCGTGCCTATCAGCGTTCCACGGTTTGCAGTCAGGGTACCGACTGTATTAGAACGGAGCCTTGTTGATACCTGGGCGCCTCAACAAGTGTTTCAGGCTTAGTTGCCAAGTCCTTGCCATGGTAAGAGGCTATGCCATGGTCGACCTCAAATCCTCACAAACAGCACTTTTTATGGAGCCAATTTTTAATACCCCCCCCCCCCCCCCCAAAAAAAAACAAAACAATGAATGCGAACCTTCGACTGATGTTGGTGTGGCTGCCTTGGCACCCTCAGTCCCGAACTCTACAAGGACAGACATCAATGATTCCCCCAAAGTGTTGACGACCCAAGCAATTCCCCTGGACCTATCTTTAGCCACCTGTCCATCTCTCGATGACGTAAATGCGAGCCTGGAGAGGCAGTCGAATCTTCTCCTCGACCTTCTAGAGGAAACCGGCTCCTTCCGCCTCAGTCAGGAGAGCATCCCAAATCAGCTCTGGGATGACTCTCTCTTGTCGGACGAGGACGACATTATGGAAACCACCGTTATTAGAACCACGGTGATAAGCACGGTAGAAACCATGATGTCTCCCCTGAAGCAAGGAGGGTCCCCTCGGCTGACTAAGGAGGCAAACCCTGGCGAGGTTGAAGACGTTGACTCAACCTCCACGGCCTGCAGTGACGTCGCGAGGCTTCTCAGGCAGTTGGCTGTCGAAGCAGATGCTGGCACCGATGAGGCTCCCATCGTTAAGATGGATGATTCATCGGTACCATTATCTGATAGACAAGCTGACGCTAAGGAGATCGCTGCCAAGAAAATGTATCGGAGAGCAGTAAATTTCTGCAAACGGTACATTGGACGGGACAGCGACTCCATCACGGGTAAGGAGTTCCTGTTAATCAAGAGGAACCTCAAACTCATTAGGAAGTTCTCTAGGAACTATCCTGATGACATTGAGAGGGACTTCTTGATTGACAGGATCCCCCGACCCAGTACTAAGACCACGGCGGTAGTCCCTTCTAAGAAGGAGAAACCTGCTGATGGCCCCGGTACATCCAGGAAGCTGATGCCTGAGACGTCTAAGCCCTCAGCACCCCCAAAGGGTAAACTGAGTACTGAGACGTCTCAGACATCAGAATCCACAAAGACAGAAGGCAGGGGACTGTCGAAGTCGGCCCGAAAGAGAGCCCGTAAAAAGGCCTCCAAGAAGACCGATAAGGCACAACCGCCCTCTGTCAATCCACCTTCTGCCGAATTGCCAAAGCTGACAGCCAAGGCGGTGACAATTGGGCAGTCGTCAGTGGTCAAGCAGAAGGTAGCGGACGCGAAGCAGGTGCCTGCGTCTGCTGGGCATACCTCTGCGGTAGCTGCTACCCCGGGTGCCAAATCTCGGCCACAGCCCACGGCTGTCAAGAGAATGAGGTCCTCGGAGGAGCAACAACCTGCTGCAAAGAGGCCCACGCAGTCGTCGGCCGTACAGAGCTCTGCTTCCTTTGCTTCGGTGGTAGCGTCGAAGGAGAAACCTGCCAAGAGCAGCGATTGTGGGGTGAAAACCAAACACGCTGTCTCGAAGCAGGTAGCCCAGACACCTACAACTAAGCAAAGCGACTCTGCTGATCCGAAAGAGGTTCCGGAAGATCTGCGGGTAGCGATCATCGACCGAGCTGACCCTGACGGGTTTATCAGTGAGGAGAGATGGGAGCTGGTCGACAGCTATCTGAAGGACCTCTTCCTGTCCGACGAGGTTGATCGAGAGAGCCTGCGGTTTGGCCTGACCTCCTCTTACAAAGGAGTAAAGGTTGTTGATTGTCGCACTAAGAAGACTTCAGATTTTCTTAAGAAGACAATCAACAGCCTGGACCCCCTTTGGGAGGGTGGTCGTCTGGCGGCCGTAGCGGTTCGAGAGATACCGAGCGGTATGGTAACCTCGGTGTTTATCCCAAAACCTTTCAAGGGGCTGGAGAAGACACTGAGGTTATTGGAGAAGCAGAACGACGGCCTTCAGACGAGGAGGTGGAGAATCCTCGCCTCGTTTGAAAGGAACGGCGGTGTAGTCGCGAAGTTCGCTACCGATTCTGCGGGAGAGGAGTACTTGAGGAAGAACAAGGGTGAGCTTGTTTATGGAATGGGGAAACTTTGTTTCCGTCTCACCACTCCAAAACAATAGGCAGGCAGCAGCAAGCGCTTAACGTGATCCAGATAAATCTGCATCACTGTAAAGCAGCAGCTGCTGAACTGCTACTCACCCTTTCTTCCTCAAACATCGACGTGGCGCTCATCCAGGAACCTTACCTGTACAAAGGTAAGGTGACTGGACTGGGCGACACCAAATACACGCTTTTGTCTACCTCCAATGGAGAGAAGGTGAGAACGTGTATTCTT